TGCTAACTCGACACCAGTGGTCGTATGAGGGCCGAACCATTTTAAAATCATGGTTCCAATCACTTGAGTTCTACTGAGGAGTTCACGACTCTACTTTGTTGCCAAATATTTGCAATATTTCATTACTCTGTAATGTTACAAGAAAATTATGGTTAAACTCGTATTTTAGCGACGGAAATTTCAGTACTTCATTCAGACTCGTTTTGATAAAAGTAACAAAAATGATGGAAAAACATCCAAAGATAATATTGTCTAAAAAAATTGAGGTTCCACAAAGTGTAACTCATATAGATCTAGGAGTTAATTGATTAATTACTGAAGACTTATATTTTGGAGGAATTAATCAAGATTTACTCAAACAATTTGGATATATATAACGATCGAGCAAAAGCAAAATTGTTCAACAAGCAAAATCACCCATCTTAATTATGTGGCGTAATGGCTGAATTACATACTACAGTATGAAAGATTACATACCCTTACTCGCTATAAGGATGAAATAAGGAAACAATGTTATTTGATCCGGCAGAATACTAAAATTTGGAGATATACCAATGGAAACAAATCAAACACAATCCAATGCAGCAGGAGGGACTGATCGACCAAATCAAGCTAGCACTATGGCTCCGGCTATCACGAGGCACGCCAAGAAACCGCCCCGCAAGGCTGACGCGGACGATGGCGAACTCGGCGGTGGTGCCACCGTACCATTCGTTACCGGCGGCGGCGCTAGTTCCGGAGGCGGCGAAGTGGAAGAATTCCCCGCGGCCGGCGGCGCTGGCGCCGGAGGTGGCGACGTGGAAGAATTCCCCGCAGCCGGCGGCGCCAGCGCCTGAGGTGGCGACGTAGAAGAATTCCCCGCAGCTGCTGGAGCGGGAGGTGGCGACGAGGGGGATGACTTGGGTGGTGGCGACGGTTTTAAAGGAGCAGGTGAGGGGGTAGCGCGCACGGCGAGGACGACGACGATGAGGCGCTCGCCGGCGTGGCAGCGTCCGGCGTCGCCGCTGATGAAAAAGTGAGGGCCGGAGTAGGAGAGGACGAAGCCGGATTCGCCGCCGCCGAGGCGCATGAAGGGGTCGCTGGTGTTGCATGCGTCGTAGTGGCTCTGGTTCACCACCAGCACCGAGTCCTCTTGCCCTTTATACCTAAACACTGCGGCGAACCAAGCCCCTCAGATCAGAAACCCAGGCGCGAACCAGATCACTCCATGCATGCATGGATCACGAGTTCACGACGTACTATATACACGTACCGAGGCGGTCGTTGACCTGGAAGCGATTGCGCTCGGCCCAGTGGTTGAACGGCTCAGCGGGGTTCGCCGTCCACCCGCCGCGGCCGCCGACGATGAAGTCGCGCCCCGCACAGCCCGTCGCCAGCAGTAGGAGGGCCACGGCGAGCAGCGCCACCGCCATGCCAGTCATGTGCAAATTACTCACCAACGGCGCTGCCTTAGCAGCCAAGGGAATGTGCTTGTGTGTGGATGTGTATGCGGTATGCAACGCCAGCCTGCAGCAAGTATATATGGCGGGGTAAAATGTTGCCGTTGTTGGGAAGTAATTAATGGACGATGCAGGAATTAGCTGTGCCAGCCGCGGCCGTTGCCAAAAGCTTTACTTCCTGCCTAGTAATGCTCTGGAGAAACGTTGTCATCCTGCGGGCGGCCACGCGGCTCGGTCAATGCATGCCATACTGCCTTGCGACGACCACACACTGGACTGGCGACTATAGAAAACCTACTAAAAATGAGAACTATACAAACCTTTCTTTGTGTTTTTTTAATTTTTTTTAGCATCGTTTCTTTTAGGTTGAGAACTGTAGAAACCTACTAATGAGCCAATGTGGCCTGCCAAGACTAAAATGTCACGCTGAGGCTTCATTTTCTTCCTGAGCCGAACAATGCCTTACTATGAGTGTGTCAGAGAGAGAAAGGAAAAAGTCCATTTTAAACCTTGAATTCGTAGACGTCCGGCGAATCAAACCCTGAAGTCGAAATCCCTGTCGTTCGGACCCCAAACTAACTAATCCCGGTCCAAATCAAACCTTAGTGTCGTTTCCCAAACGGGGATTGCCGACATGGCAATGGGGTGGCCGGGATGGGTTGTTCGGCGCGCGCCTGAGGCGATATTAGTGGGCCGGCCCAGTTCGGCCCATCATTTCGCTTCGTTCTCTCCGTGTCCCCCTGCATTCCTCCTTCTCTGGCGACGGCAATGGCGACCGGCGGTTGATCGCCACCTCTGCGACGATCGTGACGGCGCGACGGCGCGTCGAAGAAGAAGGTAATGTCCTGGATGCCCTCCTCACTTGTTATTCATAGGTTGGAGTAGTTGCGGCATTAGGGTTAGGGTTTCAGCGGCAAATTTGGGGCAAATTTGGGGACGATTTGGGTGACGCAAAAAAATTGATTTTTTCTGAAGGGAATAGGTTGTTAAGCTTTATTTTGATCGCGGTGTATGTTTTTTCAGTGAAATCATGGACCCGAGTGAGATTTTGAATGTTCGGTTTCATATTGGAGGGAAGTTCATCCGCATTGGTCCAAATTTGGACTATGTTGGGGGAGATCAAGCAATGTCAGAGATTGAGAGGGATAAATTGTCTCTGCAGGAAGTGAAAGGCTATTTAAAAGATCATACTCAGTTGATGGAATCGATGAAGTTCTATTTTCTGCTTCCTGGAAAAGAGCTTATCAATGGCTTGGTGTTCCTTAATGATGACAGTTGGTGTGTGAAGATGGCTGAGTACATTTGTGTTGGAGGAGTTGCTGATGTGTATGTGGAGTATCATGGAGAGGAAGATAGCAATGACAACAGCAGTGGGAGTGATTTTGAGGATCAAATCCTGGAACAGAGTGATGATGATGAACTAGATGCAGTTATAACTGCTAAAGAACCAGATGCAGTTATAACTGCTGATGAACCAGATGCAGTAACTGGTGTTGAACCTGCAGAGTCTGACACTGATGTGCTCATACCTGATGAAACTGGTGTGATCACTCAAAGAATTTGCAGCCCCTTGAAGCAGAGAAGAAGCAATGCCATAGAAGTAGATGTGGAGAAATGGCAGGCATGGAAGGAGTTTTTTCTCAGGTTTTGGATCCAAGTCAACCTGCATCGGCCTGTGCTTCTGAACCTCAGGCTTCAGGGCATGTCAATAACCAAATGGTGATAGCTGCAAATATTGACAGTGGCAATCAAAATTCAGACTCAGACAGTGACACTGAATACATTGGACATACTGATGATAGTGGGGAGGATTCAGAAGTTGTGGAGCTCAGGAGACATGCTAGGAAATTTAAGAAAAGGATGAGAGACTCCAAGAGCTAGATAGGTAGGGATGCTACAGGGCCAGTGCCAATTGAATTGATTGCCAACATGGAGAAGCAAATTGAAAGAGAAGAAATGGATTGGAACTATGATTCATATGATGAGGACTATAGCTATGATGAAGATTCAGATGGTCATATAAGGAAGAGGAAGAGTACATTCCCAAGATACAACCCTGAAAGTGAAGTACCACATTTTGCTTTGACCATGGTTTTAAGAAGCAAGAATCAGTTGTGCAAAGCTTTGAGAAGATATGGACTAATAACAAAGAGGAGCATAAAGTTCATGAAATTTGAGTGTGACAGAGTAAGGGCAAAGTGTGGATGGCCTGGCTGCCCATGGCTGATATATGCAGCCAAGAGATCAAGGACTTCAAGATTCCAAGTCATAACATATAATGATGATCACCAATGTGCACAGAACAGATGCAACAAGTTGGTTACTGCAAAGGTGATTGCACAGAGGTATGAGCACTTCATATTGGCAAATCCTATATGGAAAATTGAGAGCATGAAAGCAATTGTTTTGCAAGATATGTTTGCTGATGTCTCCACTTCAAAGTGCAAGCATGCAAAAAGAATTGTCATGGACAAATTATTGTGTGGAATGAACAATGAATACACTAGAGTGTTTGACTACCAACTTGAGCTGCTAAGGAGCAACCATGTAAGCACAGTTGTTGTTTGCATAGATCCAACCAACATGGAGGAAAGTGTATTCCAGAGCTTCTATGTGTGCTTTAATGCAATGAAGCAAGGATTCAAGGCTGGTTGCAGAAAAGTAATAGGCCTTGATGGTTGTTTCTTCAAAGGTGCAGTGAAGGGTGAGCTATTGTGTGCCATAGGTAGAGATGCAAATAATCAGATGTATCCACTAGCCTGGGCTGTAGTTGAGAATGAAACTAATATCACATGGAAGTGGTTTGTTGGGCTACTCATTAAGGACTTGGAAATAAACAATAATGGAGCTGGCTGGGTTATTATTTCTGATCAGCAGAAGGGCTTGATAAATGCAGTGAACGACCCATCCCGGCCACCCCATTGCCACGTCGGCAATCCCCGTTTGGGAAACGACACTAAGGTTTGATTTGGACCGGGATTAGTTAGTTTGGGGTCCGAACGACAGGGATTTCGACTTCAGGGTTTGATTCGCCAGACGTCTATGAATTCAAGGTTTAAAATGGACTTTTTCCGAGAGAGAAAGGCCTCACCACTGTGGCCCACCCGAGCCATTCACCGTCTCGCTTGGTTGCACCTACGAGATGGAGCAAGGGAAAATATTAGATTCTACCAGCACTTAGATGATACCGTGATACGGGTTTTTGGGCCATTGGATCTTGAATCTGACGGCTCCTCAAAATCTATTGTACACCTACATGAAATTTTGAAACTCTCGAATGACTTTTGGCAAAATGTTCAAGAGCTCCTTGGAGCCGTCGGATATCCAACGGCTCCCAGTAGCACGTATCACGGTATCACCTGATATCTTTGTGAGGGAGCAAACCTCAAAGACAATAAACCTTGAGCAAGGAGCTCCTGTTCGATGCTTAAGGCGACGGATACCGCCATTGGCGCTCGCATGCAACGCGGCAAGGCCCAAGGAAGGTTGTTATGCTCGTATTGCAAAACACACACGTAATTATGGTAGAAGAAGGATTCGACCTCTGTCCGCCAGTAGCCAAACCTTAGAAAATAACCAGTAGACTTAACTCCCTTAGTTGTCCATTTTGAGGAAAATAACCCTTCTTTTAGTACGTCATTAACACGTAGGAGTATTACATACCCGGTCTATTATGCGTATTTATTTTATGATAAAATAAAAAATGGAAAAATAATGCACAATAAAAAACATGGACTTGAAGAAAGTTCATAAATTTGAAAAGGTTCATATAAAATGAAAAAAGTTTGTGAATTTAAGAAAACTTCACGAATTTGAAACAAGTTCACAAATTTCAAAAAAACATGACACTTCAAAAAAAGGTTCACCAAATTTAAAAAAAAGGTCATCAATTTTGAACAAAAAGTACATCAAATTTGAACAAAAGTTCATCTATTTGAAAAAATATGATCAAATGTTTTAAAAAGTACATGGAATGAAAAATTTCATCGATTTTGAAACCAAGTTCATCAAGTTTTAAAAAAGTTCCCAAATTTGAAAAAAAATCAAATGCAAAGAAAATGTTCGTAAATTTGAAAAAAGGTCACCGGTTTGGAAAAGAAATGAAAAAAAGGAAGGAATATAGAAAAAAGAAAAATGGACAAAAGAAAAGACTAAAAACAAGCAAGTAAGCACATCACCTATGGTGGTCGGGTGGTTACCGTAGCATGCAATGGCCTAGGGAGTGGCCGGTTTGATTCCAGACGACACTTGTATTATTTCCGATTTAAAAAACAGAAAAAGGTAGATGGAAACGGCCCAGCATGTAGGGGTGTGTAAGCCCGTTTGCAAAATGCATAGTAACGGGCTCTTAAGGCGTCAAATATGAAATGCCAGGGAGGTCCCCCAACCTTATTTGGTGCCTTAAGGATTTATTTAGGGGTTGGTGCGTTAAGGTGCATTCTAGAAACCGTGGCACATCATCCACATCACTGGTATCTACATTGTCCGGCCCATATTTGTTTTTTCATTGGTTTCACAAGTTGTTTTCATTTTTCGTTTATTTATTTTAATCTTTCTTTTTATTTTTGGCCGTTATCAAACTTATGACTTTTACAATTTTGCAGACGTTTTTATAATTAAAAAACCTTTAAAAATATGTGAATTTTTATTTTCAAATATGTGAAATTCTTCTCAAATCCGTGATCTTTACCAATTTTTGTGAACTTTCATAAATTATGAACTATTTACCAACTCTTTTGTGATATTTTTAAAATTCATGACATTTTTTCATTTTTACGAGTATTTTCCAAATTACAGACTTTTTTCAAATTCATGAATTTTTCACAAATTTGCTAACCTTTTTAGAAAATTTATGAACTCTTTCAAAAAATTGAATTTTTAAAATAAATACATGAACTTTTTTCAAAATTTGTGATTTTCTTTCCTTTTCTGAAAAACTGAATGGCCAACTCCCCATGGTCAACGCAATGGTTGTAGGTCCA